CCTGGGTTATACTTGACGTACTCCCGATGCACTTTCCAAGGTAGGGCAGCTGTTAAAAATCGAAAAAGACCTCTGCTCATCCGCACAGTAAATTTTATTTGAAAAATTAAATGTAAAATAGAGATGCCGTAGAAAACATGCAAAATAACACTCGTTATTAAATTCTCGATATAGTAAAGATTAACTAAAACTAGAGAAGGTGGTGAAATTAATTTCACCAATTTCATCAATTCAACACCAATTTCGTGAAATTATTTCACCACTCTAATTTTATTTCACCAGCATCTTTAACTAAAACCTCAAAATGGTGAAGTTAGACTTAAAGCCAGTCTAAATAAAATTCTCTCGATTATCAATGGAACCGATTATTTCACTATAATGAGAGTGGCTTGTATTAATATTTGTTTCGCTTGTTAATTCTTAAAATTCACATTTTTTTTTCAAGTAGATTCAAAATCCAGAATCCTAAACCCCCTAAATTTACATTTTTATATTTAATTTTAAATAATTTAAAGATAGATTAGTTTTTTACTTTATATATGTATGTATATATGTATGCCGTTAATATATATTGCTAGTCAAAAATAAATAAAGATGCATAATAATACAATTCTAATAATATACGTATATATTTATATATTTACACCTTTTTTTTTTATCGAATTCAACCTATAAGCTACAAGGTCTATTGTTTATAGTACTTGATGATCGTTCAGGTAATTTATATTTTGTGCCAAGATATGGTAATAATGAATTTCGTGTATCTTCTCTTTGGGCCATAATTTCTTTTCCTATTTGCATTTGTAGTTCCAACGGGATAATTCGTGCACCCGGAGGTGGAACTTCAATCCCATTATAATACAATGTCGTATTTGAGATATTAAATGCATTTGAGGGTGTGGAACGCCCACCAACTGAAAGTCCACTACTTCCACCTTCAGTTGGAGATGGTGAGTCGACACGTTGAGTATTTGAGGTTAACATTGCTGTATATGAGTCAATTGTGCGTGTTGTGCGTGATGAAAATTTGGAAGTACTATTATGGTGATTATTTTGAAGCACGGGTCTTTTGTTGGTGGACGTGGAGATAGTACCGGTTTCCTGATGTGAAGGTGATGGTTCACGAAATGTGGCGTAGCGACGTTTGAAATAGCTATAGCAACAAAACCCTATTATTGCTATAACTATTAATGCTCCGAGGGCTATGCCAACTATTTCTTAAGAAAAAAAAAAGACCTATATTATGAATATAAATTGAATTAATCAAACATTTACATATGTGTATTTATACTTAACTTTACCTATGGTAGATAATGGCATTGAAGAACTATCTTGCTGTATTGGCTCTTCCTTTACCGAAGAACGAACACCAATTTTGCTTATGGAATTAGGTGAGGAATTTGTCGTTATAGTTTTCGTGAAGTTAGATACTATATATGGTGAACTATTTGATTCTGGCTCATTTCTTTTTTCCGAATAATCAGATGATTGTAGGGAAGATGACTTTTGTGTGACGGGCGGAGAGAACGGAGGAAGCTGGGTCTTAAGTAAACGAAAACAAGCATCATCCTTGACATTCTCGCCTATAATAGAAGATATTTAGTGATCTAATTAATAGTATAAAATCAAAATTTTAGAATTTTAGAATAGCTCACTCTGCGAGCACAAGGTATCATGATCGTTATTATTTTCTTTGTTGTTCATGTCATTCATTATTTGAAGATTTTTTTTTTTAAATAAAAAAATTTTATTTCAAAGGCTTTTTGGGTGTAGATACCAAGGAATGAAAAAAAACGAACACACAAAAGAAAGCAAAAGAAACCTCAAATCATGAAGAATAGAGACCCCAATGAACAAAAGAGCTTTCAAAGACAACTAATGAAGTGTATATATAATAATGGATATTTTTTTTATGGACTAATAAGAACAACAAAATTATATTGTTAACCAAAATAGTCCAACCGAATGACATCGGCCTGATGATGAGGTAAAGAATGAAAGGCCCGTGGGACAGTCAACTAAAAAAGGCAACAAGAAATGTCTAATGCTATTTACTATTTCTATATACACATGTTTCATGTCCTGAAATTCCTGTTAGAAATATCTATAACGATAATCTATGTCACATATTCTTCGTATCCGTCTTGTTACATTTGTAATAATAAATCACAGATTACAACACAAAGAATGTACGAGAAAGAACGTATGAACGACCGTTTTAGAATGAATGGTCTTTAATTCGTTCGTACTCCCTTACCAAATGCTTCAAAAAGTCCCGAGAAAATGCTATATATAAGTCCTTTTGCAAATGCTTAGTTTTAATAATTTATTTTTGATGAATAATGAACAATATCAAATATAATGATTGTCGAGCCCATTTATGCATATTTGTTTGTAAATCATCTGTTTTCTATAAACGGTAATGGCGTCAATTTTATATCATTAATTTTATACCGATACGTCCCAACGAATTAATAATATAGTAAAAATAAATTTACATGCAAGAAATTACAATGAGCTTAAATAAAAATTGGTGGGAAATTTAGTTAACAATAATTTAAATTTATATAATCATGTGTACACTGCATATTAGCGTGATAACAATGAAAGTTTAGACTGTAGATTTATTTCAAGCCTAATAGGTGTTTTTCATAGCTTATACCAAATTTATTATATTAGCAAGTAATTAATTTTGAATAAAATTACACCAATGGTTCACATCACATATTTTTTTTTTTTATATTTAGGATTAGAGCTATAAATTGAAACTAGATACGTATTAGAGGTTAAAAGGTAGGGTTAGAAATAAATTTAGTAATAAATTTTTATGGCGTTAAACATTTTTGAGCAACTGTGGTGTTGAACACCCACTGGTGTAATTTAACAAAACCTTTATTTTAACTGTATTAAAATTGAATCAAATTAAAAGAATTAACTCCAGTAGAAGTAAATTTCATTGGTACCATATTCTATCGTAAATAAGCACCCCTATAACTAAATTTTAGATATCGTGAATGTCCCCACCTCCAATAATTAGTATTTAAAGTACTAAATACAAATGCTTAGTATTTCTAAGGTTTGAAATTATGATAAAAAAATTTTTTAAAACATACCGTATCCTATCATGAATAAGCACCTACATTGAACATAGTAGCAGGGTGCTTATTTATTAAGTCAAGGGTAAGTACCTTCTTATATCATATAAAATTTGGGTTATTTCATGATCTAATGTCCTCACCTCTACTAATTACTAAAGCTGCTTTTAAAATGAATTTATCTCGGTAAGTACTAAAATTTATCATTAAAATAAAATATAAAAGCTATATTCTGATATATATATTTATTTATAATTATATATAGTGAATTCACTCTTGGACAAGTTCATTTCACCGACAATTATTTTTATAAACTGCACTAACCTTAACTCTAATTCTAACTTAACCCTAACAAAATGACCAGAATCACTTTGTTAGTGAAATGAGCTGTCGGTGAAATGAACTTGTCGGTAAATGAATTGTTGGTGAAAATGAACTTGTCGGTGAGTTAATTGTCGGTGAATTAGTCAAATAAAGCATATCGGGCGAATATCATAGCCTTTTCCAATTTCATATCGGGAACTGATAGAGCTATCGGAAATATCAGAAACTCGATAGCTTTATCGTCTCTGATATGAACCTGAGACATTAATCAGTGCCATATCGGGACTAAAAAGCTTTGTCTGATAGCTTTATTTCGACTAGTGCACTGCATTTAAAGAATATTATATTGAATTAAATAAGATAACGCAATTTAATATAAGATTTTATTGGCTAATTAAAATATTCTGCGAATTTGCACTTAACTATATAAGTTATAATAATAAAATTTAAAAAATATTAAAAAAATATAATAAAAAAAAAATTTTTTTTTGTTTATTATTTATAAAACTTTATTAATTATACCCGAGGAGGTTAGGATGAGGCAGGGACGAAATCGGAGATTTTAAAAGAAATTTTAATGCTCGAAATTTTATTAAGGTAATCTACTTTCAATTCTCAAATAAGCATGTTTAAAATTTAATTTTACATATATATTTGTTATCTTTTTGATACCGATATAGTTTTGTAAGTTATTTTGATGGAACAAGATGGGCAATCCCGTGATAGGACGGGACGGAACAAGACAAAAAAAAGCTCGGGTCAGTCGAAATGTACAACACTGGAGTGAGGTACTCTCGGGTATAATTAGAATAGTATATATTTATTCGCTTAAAATATAATTAATAAGCGCAAAGATGTTATTATTTTTTTTTACATGATTTTGTCAAATGCACTAAAATACTGAAATAATGAAATTGAAAAATTTTATTGGAAAAATTCTAATTGGTATCTTCCCCTAGATCGCCACTGGCACGTGATCACGTGCAACTCACCGAAAAATTTTTAAAGTTCATTTAGATTAGGGTTAGTGTAGAGTTAATACCTCTAGCATGGAGGACTTTCTCATTTTTCAGAAAAGTACGGTTTTTCATGCGACAATTGACCAATTAGAAACCATATTGTCAGCACATGATATAAACAGATAGATAATTATTGAACTATATAGCCACATAATTTATAAATTATAATTTAACTTCAAAGTAAAATAAGTTGTGTTTTAGAAGAATAAAACTTTTTACCCAGCTTATAAACCAATTTACAAGTATAGAAACTTTATTAGAAAAGTTTTTAATAAGAAGTTCTATATTCTTTATTAATATTCTTAAACTTTTATATAATTAACAAAATTATACTATCACACATAATAAAATGACTTCTATTAAACTAAATATCTTCTGATGTAGTAAATTTTTTTTAACTAAAGGAGATCTTCTTGGTTGGCAAAAGTTTATTAAACAAAGTTAGACACTATATATTGCAATGAAGATATATCAAACCACACATGCACTTTTGGTATCTAATTTAAGTAGTTTGACCAAAAGTTTTACACTATCTGTCATACCTGTAATCCAACTAGGGGATTACCCATTTAAACCTTCTGGTCTTAACATATTCAGTCTAATATTACCTAATACAGGTGTAACTCACTATTCAAATGTAGATTTTGTAACACTACTATATATTTTCAGCCAACTTAAGATACTTTACTATCCTTGAAGACAAGCCCAATAGAGTAGTGCATGTTTTACACATGCATTCATCTGCATGTTTTGTAATATCTTTTTAGTTAGTATCTGTTGTGTTGCTATCACCAAGTCTGTATTTCAAGCTACCCTTTAGAGCACTGCTATAACCTGATCCATATTTCAAGCCACAACCTTTCTAATTAGTTTCTTATTATGTACTCATGCTCTTAATTAGTTTACAACAAACCTGGTATTTATACTTGGAACTGTTTCCTTATCTGGATTCTCTATCGATCTCTTCTTTACTTCTAGCCAGCAACTTGGAAAAGTTGATCTGCCTAGCCTTTAGATGCCTGAAGGATGCTCTCTTCTTGGTTTATACTTTTGGAGCATATGCCTTTTTCTTCCAGTGTGACAACCCAGCGGTTTGGCTAGTATATTTTCCAAGCATGGGGGACTTTCTCATTTTTTTGAAAAAACATAGGGATTGTTATAAGGTAGTTAACCAATAAAAAGCTGGCTTTTTAACACGTGATATCATTTTTGTCAAAACAGATAGATA